TACGTAATAAATAATAGAATTTGGTACAAAAATTTGATTCATAAAAAATTAATTTATATGAATAAGTGAAAATTATGATGGAAAGATTATATTTTTTTTTTAATTATAAAATAAGTAGTTTTAAGGATAATCTAACTAATAAATCAAATTAATTTTAAACAAATGATATGATGATCATTATTTATTAAATTCAATTAAGGAAAGAGAATAATTCTTTTAAGACATAATTCAATAAATACATACTCTCTCAACAATTTTCATAATAAATATAAAATTTCTACAAAATTGTGATTTTAGCATAATATCAATTAAGGATCCATGACCAATGATGCTTAATTTATGGTTTTATGGGAAAAGAAGTAATTCATTTTACTTTATATATTAATTTAAGTAAAATTAATATGGATAAGTTTAATAAAATTTTTAATAATATTATTATTCAAAAAATCAACCATAAAATTATTAAAATATGGAATAATCTTACCTTCAAATAACATTCCAAAAAATTAATATTAAAAATAACAATCCTTTGTAAAGTCAAAATATTTATTATAATCTAAGTTAAACATTAATCATCTAATTTTTAAAAGATAAAATTTTGTCTCTCACATTTAAAGGATTAATGGTAACTAGTTCATAAATTTGTTTAACTGAGAATTCAATTAGTTCTATTGAAGTAGAGAAAACAATATATCTACAACATAAAATTTTAAGATCATCCATAGATTATTTAATTAAAAAATCTTAATAAAAATAATTTCTAATTTAATATTTTTTTATTTAAGAAAATTATAAGGTTAGATTGTTAATTTATAGGTATTATTACATATAATTTCTCATTTAATGTTATTAATTTAATAAGAAACAAAGTATTTGATTTCCTATCAATATGAATATTTGTTAAATTTATATTTATATTATAGTATTTTATTTATAAATTAAGTGAATAAAGTAATCAAAAGTGAAAAATTGATGATGAAATCTTAAAAACCTTTATGTTTATCCTTACTATTGAGATTTCAAATAAAAATGATGTAATTAGATAAATATTAAGTATATTTAAGCAATTTTTTATTAAAGATGCAGTTTAGCAGTCCTTGACAGATTGCCAACATAATATATGAACTTCTAAAAAAATATGAAGAATAATAATTTGTAATATAATAAAGTATAAAGCTTTACAAATATTGAAAAAAATAGTTGTATTATAGCATTGTTATTGTCGTATTTAATAGTATTAGGTGGCTATAAATAGCACTACTTGCGAATACCCTCCAATAATAACAAAAGAATATTCTCGCATTGCGACCATTTTATATATTCTTATAAAAGTTTGCTTTTTGTATGAAAAATTATACTACTTAAAATTTTCATCATTACTAGGTTTATTTAACCGAAAATAAATTGAATTAATTTAAATAAACATTTATCTGAGCTTTTTATTTGCTTACAATTTATAAAGAATCAACGTTATTCTTTAAAGTAATAGGTTTATTAGTAAGCATTGATGAATAGTCTTAGAATAAATCTCTTTCAGTACAAGATTATAGATAAAAATCACTTTAAATCTTTTGTTCTGAGTGTCCGATGATTTAGTATCTGTAAGTGCCAGAATAATCACAAAAACTTAATTATAGAATTTTATCTGAACAAATCATATGAAGTGTAACTACCTCAGAATAGTTACATAAATAAATAATTTAAATGATTACAATTACACTTTTAAAAACATTGAGTAGAATAACATCCCATTCCACTTTAATTTGGTTGTATATAGATTAGAAATTATAGAATCTATGCAACTGAACATTAAGAAATAAATAATTATATTTTCATTGTTCAATACTAAAGTTTAGTCATAGATCAGGAATGATGTGATAAATTAAATATCATTGTAATATACCAGCAAAAACACTGTCTCTGCTCACTACTAGGCCCATATGTTCCATTAGAATTAATTTTCAATTAAAACTAATTCAATTTACTGAACTTAAGCAGTTTTAGTCAATTTTTTTTATTGTAATTTCTTTGCTTAATACTCTCAATATACTTAATTTTAAGTAATTAATTTAAAAGTTACTGCTTCTTCATACAATATTCTCAAAATAAAATGATCTGACCAGTAACTGAATTCTAAATTATTGATGTAATTCATTCTATATTCATCTGAAGATTCCTTTATTTTATAAAAATATTATTAATCTTTATTCTTATAAAAAAGCATCAATTTCAAAAAATTTTTGTTCAATTCAATAAATTTAATTATCATTATTATAATCCTAATCTAAATATGCAAATTTTGGGCCATTATTAACGTTCAATTTTTTTGTTTAATTATAAATACCATAAACAAACTAAAATTTATTAGAATAATTTATTAATTACAACCAGAAAGTGAAATTAGATAAACAATTTTCACACTTCTTATTTAAATAATTTGACGGAGGAGTATTTCTATAATTCAGTTATATACACATTTAATTCATTTTGCAAAGGGTTAAACATTAATGAATAGAATAATACTTCATTTCGAAAATATTTGACAATGATAAATTGTAAAACATAAAGAATTTAGATTAAATATATGTA